TGCTCACACGTTTACTGTAAAAGGTTGTTTACTTATATCACTACTTTACTAGATACACTGGTCAAAGACATAGAGGGCTAATATTTTTCACATGAGATTGTAAATAATATTTTTAGACTATATTATTTTCAATAATATAGTTGGAGCAAGTTTTGTTGTTTTCGTTGCGATGAGGCACTGCTGGTCCAGAACCAATGCAACTTAAATCCAGGGATGTACAAAAAAAGTTGATGGGGTGAATAACATTTGCTAGATAATTATATGACAGGCTCCTTCGTAAGGCGACCAATTCTTCAGTAATATCAAGACTATTATTTACCAAAAAGGATGAGATCCTGTAAAAGAGAAAAGGGCGGAGCAAAACAGAAACTATTCATGTGAACTGCAGAGTCATGACTCAACATACACTTTGGTATATAAATAAAGGCCCGGCTACTCTGAAATTTCTTTTTCTGTATTAAATCACTTACTAGACACCTGAATTTATTTGGGTCAATGAAAACAAGTTTCTCATAAGACAGAATATGAGCAAATTTTAGAAAATGCTTTGATTTACATGATTTAATAAGAAACGCACAGTGATTTGGTGCCCTGTTGATATCCCATTAGCTGTTTTTTACCACTATCAGCATTTCTTGTTAGGAAGTGAAGCCAGTTCATCGCACTTGTTAGATATACCAATCTCCTCTACTCTCTCACGTTTGTAATATGTTTCAGTCTAAGAAATATCTTTTGCAAACTTAATCGGAGTAAAGTATCCTTTCTAATTTTACATCACAAGCAAACCAGACAGCTTTAACTTCTGCATAATGGATTGCCTGTCACTGTAGCACATCACACTGATATTAGGTTAACTAACGGTATGAATTGTAAGGTACGGGTCTGTTAATTGATAGTTTAGAGATTGAAAGGATAGGCATTCAGTGAAAGAAAATGTAGAAAACGGTGTTAATAATTAATGAGCAAGGCGATGAGTGTGTAAGAAAGCAAGGTTTTTGAATGTCAATAAGTTGGAGATATAAAATTTCATTAGACTGTTATACATGGACTAAAAAGAACTTAAAATGATTGTGGATAATTCGAATTTCTTGCAGGCAAAGATGGTTTGGCAGCATCTCCAGAGTTTGCAATTTGTCTGTTCACTACAAATAAAAATTAAGAGAAAGAAGAAGAATAAGACGGTAACGGAGCCTGTACAACTGCTGAATAACACTTGCATCATTTACTTACAACCGTTGACTGAAAACGCTGTTCTTGAAAGTGCTATTATTCGCAGGCATTCTGAATTTTACTGTTTCTTAAATGAAGTTAACCGGTTTGATAAATCGAATGATCGCATATTGGAATTGTTTAACAAAAATGAAATGAGTTAGGTATATCAATTTATATTCATACTTGATCATTCAGCGATATATTTTCTGGAATAAATACATGTGTGATGGTGAAAATTTCTAGTTAATTCTGTGTAGGATCCATTTTGGAAGGCTTTGTTTGGGAAAATCACTTTATAGATGGATTTTCTACCCTACCGGTTCACTTTGTTTCCAATAGGTGCAGGTTGGCACTCGACGTCCCGGATCCAATAGCAAAACACAATAATTCTGGGAGAAATCGGTCTTTATTTATTATGAAATGGAAATACAGACTTTGACCCAACTATTGTTACACCTTCCAATTCACAATTACCACTATGGGTATCCGATTCCAAAAGAATAAGTGCTACCAGTTCTTACTGCTACGGTATCAAATCCAAATATGGCTGTAGCCATATTAAATATCAAATTTAAACAACATATGTACAGTTCAGAAGCAAACATAAAAACTTCAATATAAGTACAAAATATAGAAATAATAACAACATACAATGATAAAATCTCAAAGTGGAATCAAATACAGTACCAAAATATCAACAGAAAGAGTCAGTCATATCATAACACAAATATTTATACATGGAGGCATTTTCCGAAAAACAAAACATTCTTAAAAGACTCTACACCCTTCATGTGTACATTCGTAATATGTCTTATTGATCCTTACAGTTCTGTATTTTGGCAATCTGTTCAATTCCATTGCCGCAAACTAGATTTTGGGGTGATAATATTTTTATTTTATTTTAGTTTCTATTTTTTGTGCCTTTTTTGAGTTTCTTCGTTTCTTTCCGAATCGCTTTATGTTGTTTAAGCTAATACCTAATTAGGGCGACAGCTATATTGATTTTGTTCCTCTTGCGGTTGGAGCAGTTACACGGACTGGAAGTAAGCAATTTGGATTGGAAATTTGAGTACTCTTCCAGAATTGGAAACACTCTGTGTTGTGACTGAAGGAGTAAAAGTGGTTTTATTGTTTAGGTAATGATTTATATTTATATTTATGATTAATAATAGGATGGTTACTGAACAAGATCATTCGTTTTGTATTTCAACTGGGAAAGACGCGTATCTAAACTTCCTGAGCAGTTATTCCGAAATTCAAACTTCAGTTTTGGATTCTACAACTGTAGCTAATATACCTAAAGATTTTAGAGGAACGTTACCATTTCATTATACACATATTTGGCATAAAAATTGTCCTGCATTAAGCACTACTGTAGTGCGCTGTAGAGATTACAAAATTCTGGTGTATTTTCAAAATAATTTCGATACTCCAGGTCCCTACCCAACTCTCGGAAACCAATACGCATCAGGTACTACAATAGGCATGTAAGTTAATAAGGACTATGAAGGAAAATAATTTAAACAGCAAACAACGATTGAATGTGCATAACAGTAAATTTCGTTGACTCTGAAAAGAAAATCCACTGGTTGTACTGACCAACTAGATGAAGTATCATATACATTCTATCCATGTAAATCGCAAATCACAATCAATAATTGAACTGAATCGAAATAGTGTTCAAATAGCTGCCTCTTTTAACATGAGAGTTGCAAGGTCAATTGCAGATTTCCTTCATTTGGGGGGAAAAGATCTTTTAGATCAGCAGAATATCATGTGTACCATCAGTGTGCTAAATTAAAAGCTAATCTTCTTGAGTAGACACACAAATAATTCACAATTCGAAAAGTCATCAAACCATTGTTTATATGAAGTAAAGAGGTAAATTATTAAGACGTCTTATTTTTTAATGGTAGCCCACACCACTTTGAAAACTTTAGTCGCCGCGATGACCTAGGCAATCTCATACTTTCATTAATAACTCATTCAGTCAAGGAAATCCAGAGAAAGGGCTCAACATCACATCACAAACGCCATCACATGGCAGTTCAAAAGAATATATTTGATCGGAAAAAGTAGTTACTCCCACAGAAATCGGGTGGAGATAGATTGTTATGAAAATGAGTTCAGTGAAAAGAAGGTGTATTATAGGAGGAAATGAAAATAGGTACAAAATCATTAATAGGTAGAAGAGACCAACATAATGGCTGCTCCTGGAAAACTATTTCAAGTCTTCAACTGAGGAAGAGGTTGAATACAAAATCCATTATTATTGGGAATTTCGTGGATTTAGGTGTGACTGTTCCTGACCTCCACATAATGTGCTTAAACCCTCTCAAAAAGATCTTTGTTCAGAAAACCTATTTGTCTTGTTTCTAAGAAGCCGGTTCCTATTCGGAGGAGAGAAAGCCAAATTTAACTTGAACTAACAGAAGCATTTGATTCAGCTCCACTGTAGAAGCAAATATACAACTAGACGCAAATCCCAAGGTATGAATAGCTAGTTCTGTCCTGAATCACCTAGGGTGGTATCGCTACAACTATAAGCAGTCAGTGATGAATCGATCAGTTTTCACCATCTAATTACAGAGCTGTTAATCCTGAGGGCAGTAGATGAAGTTCGCATAATGAAACATTGCGCCAGCCAGGTTATATCACATTAATAGCGAGGTCTACCTGGATTGTTCGCTTTGCCGATGTGAATGAAGACTTCCCAGCTGACACTTTCAGGCTTATGTACGAGCCCATGTTGTACTGCCTTCCTCTCAGGTATGCTGGACACACACTCACTGGGGTTTCAGTTCTACTTTTTTATGCATATATATCCTGCCTCACATAACGCGAACAACTTACACCCTTAACGGAAGTCCTCTCCCTAGTGTTTCCCTAGGGCGCAATCTCGGCTTAAAAACCTCTGAAGGCCTCCACACCAGTTCGAACTACATAGTGGACGCATTCGACGCTAATGCAACTCTTCAATTTATGCGAAGACAGCTTGGTGCAGTCACCTCAAAATTATTCTTATTGTTGTTTAACATATATGCGCGACCACATATTAGTGTTCACAACGTCGTCTCATCCCCTCTCGTTAAATGAGATATAAATCCTTTCGATGGAGTTCAGAGACGAGCAAAGAAATTGTTGATAGGGTTGGAAAAGAAAGCTTACAAAGAAGGATTCCAGTGATTGAGATTATTCTCACTGAGTTATAGGAGAATCAGTGGTGGGATGATTATGGCGTACAACATATTAGGCATGCCAAACATTCCAAACATGATCATCTTACCGAAGCATCATTATCACTATCCTCCAGTCAATCAATCAAAGATCCAACACTCAGATTCGTGCACACTTTTTCTCATTCAGAATTTTTGCAGTTAGGAAATCTCTCCCAGCTGATGTAAGCACAGCTTCCTCAGCAGGCAGCTTTAAAGAGAGACTTAATTAACAGCACTCCCTCGTGAACTAACTGTGCCTGATGCATGTCTTGAGGCCTGCTGGATGTTATGATCGCTATCTCCCTCGATTCCTCTCTCAACCTACCTCGCTTATTATGTCCGTTTCCTCCCCATCGCTTACACTTCGGTCCTCTCGCACAATCCCCACTACCAATTATTAAACTAATTTATCTAGTTATTCATTTAGTTCTATAGTCTTGTTATTAGGATCAGAATTTCCTCCTTATTATTCTACACTTTACACCTAACTGGTATCCGGCCCGATAACTTGATGGCTGATGGTATTCAGAAACCCTGTTGCCTTGAAACAAACTTCTTCATTCAAATCACGGGATATACAAACTCGCAAACAACTACTACCTGACTAGTTTTAGTGCAGTTGAGTTGGTATAACTCCATCCATTTAACACTACTAAACATCTAGAACCGTACCGAATGAACAAAAATCGAGCGTTAAGAAATCAACTGGTTTATACTAGCTCGTGAAAAGGATATTGGATACTAAAATATAGGATTTTAGACTCGGCGAGATTTTCAAGCATTGCGTTACCCTTACGGATGTACTCGGAGCGTTTAAAAGATCTGGAATTTAGATTACTGCAAGAGGAGTCTGTACGTAAGGAGTCTTCAAATGAGAGGGAAGTTGAAAACTGTCCCGAATCTGTGGATGAAAAGCCAGTCGTTCCTGAGAGTAGTAGGTTTTTGGTATTAAAATAGTTGTAGACTTAAGTCCAGCTTTGGCTGGAATAGGTATTGGGGTTGCCAGGTTAATTTGAGCGATTTGAATTAACTTTCTTTAGCATGTTTTTAGAGGTTCTATTATCACATCCGTTCATTGTAATTCGAAATCAGTGTCAAGTAATGGGATCAACTCAAAGCCTTCACCTAACCCCTTTCACCCTTATTCCTGTTGTTGGAAAATGCATACAGTCCCAAGTAATATTTGATATATAATCATCTAAATCCCTCAAGAGCCTGTCATTTTTTTGGAAGGGTCTGGGGAGTGTGTTTTTTATCCGTGGGTTAGGCCTCATGACTGAGAATCTCGTTTGCAATTACACATCATTACCTAAGTGAGCGAATACTTTGGGTATAATATTTTCAGGGAGGTCTCTAAATCAACACCATTTAGACGTCACTTGGGTCATCTTCTCCTGAAAGTGTAAGTTACTGTTATTATTTGTTTTACTCCAGATGCTCATGGGTGATAATCACCCCATTTTACGCAGCAAGTATTGTTGAAATCGTCCAAGTAAGTTGGTGTGTTGTAATCTTTTTGTCTCCATACAGTTTCACTAACTAGTCACATATTCGTTTGCTAAGAAATGTTTGCAAATGAGTTGGCTTATCAGCATCAAAGCTGTTTCATCCCATCCAGCTGGGAGCTCATACTATATTTATTTCATGCATCGAGTTCTATAAAAACACGTTAGATATCTGACATTGCGTAGTTCCCAACCCTAGTATTACTCATCGTTTCTGAAATGTGAATCGGGTGGATTATGTCCCAATAGCATGGTAGTAACGTCATGTTCCGATGATGTGACTCTCCAAATATAGGCTCGTCGATTCGTCTTTGAGCCGCTTTGTGTTTGTAGGTAAGTGATACCACCTGGCTGCTGAACGGCATATGGGTACCGTACTCAAACCTGTGACCTAGTTACTAACAGCCAGACGTCTGAATACTAAATCACCGTCTTTGGTTAAAATTTAGGGGATTTTCTTCCCGACAATTCAAATGTAGGTTCAAGCCTCATTGCAGCAACTACCTTGGGGTTGTTGTGGAGATTCAGTCTGTCAGTTGCCAAGTAGAACTTCGTACGTGTGTACATAAGTTCAGGTTGCCATACCACATTAGCACAGAGACGAAAATGTCAAATAAAATCCCATAGTGATAAAGATAGTAGAGGTATTAATGGTAATGAAGAAGACTAGGGTTCGAAGATATTATTCTGGGAGGAAAAATTCAGTGAGATAAGGATAGGAAGACAAAGTAGAGATGCTGACGAATCCAGAAGATTAGGATTTGAGAGAGCTCAAAGAATGGGTGCACTTGCTCCACTTAAAACGATTTTGAGCCATGTCGTTCACGGTCTCTAACCATTGGTGACTTTCGTCTCGCGGTCCCCAACCAGATAGTCTACATCTACCAACATGACTCAGTCCACATGTCAGTGACTTCATGGATTTCTGCCATGTTTTGGTCTGGCCGCCCCTAGCTTTCTTGCAACCTACTCCTACACCACAAAACATAGCTCGTCGAGGCAGTCGGTGGTTGGGCATTCGTCCCAACCACCTCAACTGATGAAGTTTCATTACTTCATCTCTTGATCTGCCATCCTTACCTAGCACCCGTTTCCTAACAACACCATTGCTTACTCCGTTGTCCCACGATATACGAGCAATGCTTATTAAACATCTATGATCGTATACAAGTAACCTACGAACATCTCCTCTTAACGGCCACGTTTCGCATCCGTATAGGAGAACAGAGCGAACTGCTACACAGTACACTCGTCCTTTGGTCAGCAAACGCATATCACGCCTACACCATAAGTGACTCAGGTTGGCAAAAGCCAATCGAGCTTTCTGTATCCGTGCTGAGATTTCGTCAGTCACCAGGCTATCAGCGCTGACGAGACTCCAAAGGTAAGTGAAGCGGTCTACATGTTCGACTACTTCACTCCCTATCACTAGTTCAGGTGCCGATGCAACCCAATCTTGAAGCAACATTTTGCATTTCGACGTTGAAAACCGCATCTCAAACATGCTTGCATTGTTGCTTATGGTAGTCAGAAGACTGCATTTTGTCAGCGTCTTCACCAAGTAGGACTATGTCATCGGCATATTCTAAGTCAATAAGCGAGCCAACTGGTAGAAGGTCTACTCCAGAAAATTCAGACGAGGATAAGGTTATTTCTAGGAGCATGTCTATGATAAAATTAAACAAGAATGGAGAAAGCGGACATCCCTGACCGTCACCACTTGAAGTGAAGAATTCCGGTGACAGTTCGCCATATGCTCTCACTCGACCAGTAGTGTTCGAGTAGAGAGCTTGTATAAGGTTGATGTACTTCTTTGGTACACCTTTCAATGACAGACTCTGCCACAGAACCTCATGATCCACAGAGTCATTGTCGACTTAAGGTCCAGGAACACGACTACTGTCGGACGTCTAAATGTGTGTCTGTGTTCCAGGACCTGTAGCAGAGTGAAGATGTGGTCCATACAGCCAAGTCCGGGTCTGAAACCAGTCTGGTTTTCTCTAGTCTGCTCTTCACGAGCTCTAGTTAGGCGTTCAAAGAATATCGAGGCTGACAATGTAGAAACGATATTAGTTAGACTTATCAGAATAATGACTTTACTAGGATCCTGTATGCGCGTTTCCGAGACGCAGCACACATCGATGGCGCGAGATTCTAAAGTCGTAGCAAATGAAGCCTGTTGCCCTATTTGACACAATGTCCTTACATTAAATGCTCCAACATGTAGTTTAGAACGAGGTTTCAAGAGACCAGGAATGACGTTTCATGAACTCGCATCGTTTGCATTAGCGGTGCAGTCAGATAAGGGAAAGTGAGTAGAGTAAGTCGTGGAGAGAAGAGAGGTATTAGGAGGTGAAGGAAGGATTCGAATTCGACCAATTTGGTCTCGTGTGCTGTTATGGGTATGAGGGCGGTTGTCACTTCCCGGCTGCCCACACCGTGGAAGGGTGTTTCTTGAGGGACCTGAAAAGGAAGATAGATTAGTGTTGGTCTTAGAGACCTGGGTGCGTGACCACAGAGCCCATGGGACGACTGCTTGAGGCCGGTCACGCACGGCCTTTTTATGAGAAGTATTTTGAGTATTAGCTCCGCTCTTGAAAGACCTTAGTGGGCACCCTAGCCCAAGGAGACGGAGATCCGTGACTAAGGTGAGGTGTGACATTTTTAGGGTCGACCCTTTCTAACCCCTCCTTCCTTGTGAAAAGGCAGCATCGCTGCAGATGCTGGTTGTCCGAGGTAAACAACTTACTGCTGTCACACCCCTCGACAGTCTGCAGTACGACTTCGCCCTCAGACCTTGAGTAGCTGCTTTTAGTCTCATCGCTCTCCAGTCGACCTGCCTGGCATGGTAGAACCTTCAGGAACATAAGTTTCAGCCAATATAGCTCGGTTGGGTCATCACAATAGGCAAGCCCGACTACCACGTCAAGGTAGCAGCTTCGGTCGGGTTGTGGAGATTGCCTGAAGTGATAACTTAACTGAGCTACTTCAGCTGGAACACGTGTTGTTTTGGGTCCTACCGTTCCAAGAAGGTCGGTTGAAGAACCTTACGACTAAAGGCAGCAACGTAAGTTCTGAAAGCAACGTCTTACTACTGACTGTGAGGAGTTGTCACAACGGTAAGACATTTCCCTCAAACAATAGGCATCCGTTGCGGTGCTGCCTCAATGTAAGGAAGCTGTTAGAAAAGGTCGACCATAGAAATGCCACACATCTTACTCCACATCAGTCCAAGTCGCCATACCACATTAACAAAGAGATCGAATTGTCAATTCAAATCGTACAGTAGTAGCAGTATTGGCGGTAAGGGAAAAACAGGGTTTGATGCAATTATTCAAATATGACCCTGTGAAATAAATCTAAGAAGAGAGAAGAAAAGGTCCTGAGCTCATGACGTCATGAGAGAAGACAAATAATGAATGCACTTGTGCCACTGCAAGTGACAGACAGACAGATACAACACAGAACTTGGTACTTATGTACATCAGTCCAGGTTGCCACTGCAAGTGATTTTGAGCCATGGCATTCAGTTTCTCTCTAAGCATCGGTTACTGTTTCATGAGGCCGGGAATAACCAATGGCTGTTTACTTTGAATGTCATTGCTCAAAGTCGTTTGCAATGTAATAGGTCTTTCCATTCTTTTTATTATCTTGAATTTTAATCTGAATTCATCGCAATTTTTTATACCAATGATACTTTCATTGCTCTGTGATTAACTGAGGAAGCACAAGTAGATTTTTTGTAAGTTTATTTAATGCGTTCATTGAGCATTGAAATGATCTTTAGTTCTAATACTGTTTTATTATAACACGTACAACTGATTCAAGCTGTACGGAATATTTCTGGTTGAATTAATGTCACTACCTATTTAATGGTCTGTAATTTTTAGCTTGAAAACTGAAATTAATGTTTTAATTACATGGATATTAATTTGATTAAAATCATATTCTGTTCAATGTTTTGGTGTCCGAATGTTTTTAGTCTGATAAAGCTTCTGAACCAACTACCCTCTTCTCTTATGTACGTGATGGTTTCTATCGCTTGCTTCACATGCCATCGTCCCCAAGATTAGGCTCGCCAGGTTCGATGTTTCGCAGTGGTCATACTATCCGAAGCATTCCGATCGCAACATCACGTTTGTTACCTGTTTGGCGTCTCATTCCTCCTGTCGTTTTACTAAATATCGGTCATTATGTTGTTCGGTCGTATGTAAGCTTTGCAGCTTTGTCTAACTGGAATACCAATGAGGATCGTCTTGAACGGGATGCGGAAATGGACTTCAATTATAAGGTATGTCATATAGTTTTGTCCAAACTGTACTAAACTACGTTTTGTTTACTTCTTGTGTGGTCTCTGATAGTCACATAAATAACAAAAGTATGATCATGTTTTCCAGTTTTTTTAAACAGTGGCGCTTCTGTAGGTTGTTGTCACCTTTTGTTAAGGTAGCCGTTCAATATATGTAGGTATGAATAGTGTATTCTCATTTTTTCATGTTTGATGAACTGGCATTCAAATTTTGGGAATTTAAGTCAAATAAATTTAATTATGATCAAAATTTATCAGCAAAGTAAATTTTTCGTCAATCTCTTAATCCTGATTTCAAAAATTATTTTGTACTTTTCCTCTCGAAAAATCATTTTTTCTCTATGTTCTCGATGTCTGTTTTTTTCACTGTTGCTGTTACTACTGTTACTGCTGCTACTTTGGTATTCATCTTGACAGTTTCGTCCAGTTGTACTAGTATGGTGTGAGATTTTGACACGATACACATTTGTGACTGACTGGTTGTCATTCTTTCGTTGCTGCTAGTTGGACATAGATCGGATTAAAGCATAGCCGATGCACGGTTATTTTGAGGCTCACTAATTTCCTCATTGTTAGCTAATCAGCGCTAGCGGATAGCTGGAGAAGGTTCTTGACTAATTGTGTTTGAAAATTCTAAGTTAGCTAACGTTTTCATAACAATGATTCGTTCGTATTCGATTAGGTTGGTCAGAATATGATAATTAACCTGTTCAAGGTGTTTTGGGGACTAGTTGTGCGTTGCACAGTCTCGAAGAATAACTAACAATAAGATAGTTGGGTCGCATAAACCAGTTCATTAAGAATTGTTCAGGCTATCGTCTTAACTTCATAATCACACGGGTTAATATTCTTTAGTGATAACTCGACCCAACATCTCGATTATGGTTTGTGATGCGATGTTTAATCTTCCTATCCAATTAATAATAATTAGGTCTCTAATCCACGGAATCACAATTCCTATTTGGTTATCTCATATAGTCATTTGTTTTCTTTGCCACATATGGCTTTTGTCGGACTGTTGAAAGCATTCAGCATTAAAATTGTATCGCCTGATCGGGTTGAAATTACTTAACTCTAGGGTTGCGTTTCTTGATTATTTGGTAACTAAAAAGAAGGATGTTCACCTGTCTTGTAAACGAACATTCATGCAATTGTTTTCTTTCATTCTTCAAAGCTACTAATTAGTTAACAAAAACTACTAGCTAGTCCCGACCGTAGCTGCTACCTTGACGTGGTAGTCGGGCTTGCCTATTGTGATGACCCAACCGAGCTATATTGGCTGAAACTTATGTTCCTGAAGGTTCTACCATGCCAGGCAGGTCGACTGGAGAGCGATGAGACTAAAAGCAGCTACTCAAGGTCTGAGGGCGAAGTCGTACTGCAGACTGTCGAGGGGTGTGACAGCAGTAAGTTGTTTACCTCGGACAACCAGCATCTGCAGCGATGCTGCCTTTTCACAAGGAAGGAGGGGTTAGAAAGGGTCGACCCTAAAAATGTCACACCTCACCTTAGTCACGGATCTCCGTCTCCTTGGGCTAGGGTGCCCACTAAGGTCTTTCAAGAGCGGAGCTAATACTCAAAATACTTCTCATAAAAAGGCCGTGCGTGACCGGCCTCAAGCAGTCGTCCCATGGGCTCTGTGGTCACGCACCCAGGTCTCTAAGACCAACACTAATCTATCTTCCTTTTCAGGTCCCTCAAGAAACACCCTTCCACGGTGTGGGCAGCCGGGAAGTGACAACCGCCCTCATACCCATAACAGCACACGAGACCAAATTGGTCGAATTCGAATCCTTCCTTCACCTCCTAATACCTCTCTTCTCTCCACGACTTACTCTACTCACTTTCCCTTATCTGACTGCACCGCTAATGCAAACGATGCGAGTTCATGAAACGTCATTCCTGGTCTCTTGAAACCTCGTTCTAAACTACATGTTGGAGCATTTAATGTAAGGACATTGTGTCAAATAGGGCAACAGGCTTCATTTGCTACGACTTTAGAATCTCGCGCCATCGATGTGTGCTGCGTCTCGGAAACGCGCATACAGGATCCTAGTAAAGTCATTATTCTGATTGCGCCTTGTTAGAACAAAGTAGCATCCCGATTTACTATTCGTGTATCTGATAACCCTGATGCTGCTTCTCGGGGTCTCGCTGGTGTAGGTATAGCATTGAGTCGTAGGGCAGAACAATCTCTCCTTGAATGGTTCCCTGTAGATAGTCGCTTATGCACTGTCCGACTAAAGAGGACAGTAAGGACTCGGAAAGATAGGGATACTCGCCGTTGCCTCTTCGTCGTATCTGTCTATGCCCCCACTGACTGCAGTTCAGACGAGGTTAAAGAAAGAAAGCTTTCGGACCTCCTCCAAAAAGCTAGGCGCTCTGATGTAGTAATAATGGCTGATGACTTTAATGCTCAAGTAGGTAGACTAAGTGAAAATGAATGACACCTGGGTGGATTTTACTGTGTCGCGGCTCAGAGAACAGACAATGGAGACCTTCTGTTGCATCTGTGGTCAGATAACCGCCTATTCTTAGCAAACACTAACTTTAAGCATAAGAAAACACATCTGTTGACCTGGCGACCTCCAAAGTCGTCTCAACGTTGGACCCAACTAGATCACATTGCCATCAGTCACCGATGGAGGGGTTCGATAGAGGACTGTCGCTCGTTCTGGAGCACATGTTTAGATTCAGATCACGCCCTAGTGCGAGCCCGTATTTGCTTGAGGCTTACTGGACGCAGGAAAGACACCGTGAGAATGCCTCTTAGGGTTTTACCTAATGATAGTAAAACTAGGAATATATTTCAGGAGCAACTAGAATGACAGTTGGGCACCCATTTAAGCGATTCCCATCCAGAATCAGGTTGGTATGATATCAAGAAGGCTGTGGAAACAGCACTGATATCTTCTAGTAAGGTACACCTTAAGGTTAGAATGAAGCCGTACACCGAACTGATGGATGCTCGAAAACGCATCTGAACATGATGAAGAGCTCAGTCAGCTTAGGCGCAAACTGATAAAAAGGTTACGAAACGACCGTGAACAGTGGTTGTTGGCGAAAGCAAAAGCGATGGAAAAGGCATCGGCGATAGGCAACAGTAGACAACTTTTCCGCCTTATCAAAGAAACCGGTATTAGGAACCCGAATGTTAGTGAGTCTATCTCGGAAAAGGATGGTCTTCTCATCCAGTCTACATGAAGTTGAAAAAGCGTTAGGAAATCTAAAGCGAAGTAGAGCAGCAGATCCTGTTAGGCTTACCCCTGAGATGTTTAAGGATGGTGGTCCAGTTTTAACAGTTAGACTGACCGAGATCCTAGGTAGAATCTGGGAACTGGACGTAATCTCATCTGACTGGACTCAGTCGCTAATTGTCCCAATCTACAAGAAAGGACAAAAGTCCTCTTGTGATAATCACAGGGGAATAAGTCTAACTAATATCGTTTCTAGATTGTCAGCCTCGATATTCTTTGAACGCCTAACTAGAGCTCGTGAAGAGCAGACTAGAGAAAACCAGACTGGTTTCAGACCCGGACTTGGCTGTATGGACCACATCTTCACTCTGCTACAGGTCCTGGAACACAGACACACATTTAGACGTCCGACAGTAGTCGTGTTCCTGGACCTTAAGTCGACAATGACTCTGTGGATCATGAGGTTCTGTGGCAGAGTCTGTCATTGAAAGGTGTACCAAAGAAGTACATCAACCTTATACAAGCTCTCTACTCGAACACTACTGGTCGAGTGAGAGCATATGGCGAACTGTCACCGGAATTCTTCACTTCAAGTGGTGACGGTCAGGGATGTCCGCTTTCTCCATTCTTGTTTAATTTTATCATAGACATGCTCCTAGAAATAACCTTATCCTCGTCTGAATTTTCTGGAGTAGACCTTCTACCAGTTGGCTCGCTTATTGGGAAGTTTGTTCCTTTAAAATTTAAACCGGTATTCGCATAAAGTTTATTATTGGTTTAGCAATATCAGTTATAAATCTGTTTCTTTAATACGCTTAAATTCTGGCGCGACATCAAAAACAAATAATATTGAGGCAATGCTTTTTGCAGAAGAATTCTCATTGCCCCTACAAGCTGGCTTCAGAGTTGTTTCCCGGATGTCACCAATAGCAAAACTGGGTAAAGTTCTGGAGAGTAATTTCCCCAGTCCGCTGATCCATGATAACCCATTGCAAATATATTTACCTTTCGCTGTTTCGAGGCGTATGACAGCATAAAATTCAGTTTTCATCACTCTCCCTATATTTTGTCAGCATTATCTTATATTAGTGCTAAATTATTCCCATAATTTATAGTTAGTACCATTCCGTTGTTACCAGTGAATCAAAGTTGGCGATTACGATTCGTAACCTCGAAAATTTTAGTTACCTGTTACACATTTAAGCTTTGACCATTCGGCCAGCTAATAAGAATATTAAGTATCGATCTAAAAGGGTTGTTTTAGTTCGTAGATGAATGTTATAATTGTATATCGTTTAAGGTGGCCCATTCGTACGTTACACATTGGAAGTCACACACTACTGCAACTTACGATTTCTCTTAGAAAGTAAGCTGATTGACCGAAACTCTCCCAGAAGCCAGTCCGTCGACACCCTGAATGTTGATTTAAGTGACGACATGAATTGTAGAAAAGACGACCCTAAGCAACAATGCAAGCATGTTTGGGATGCGGTTTTCCTCCTTGAAACGCAAAATGTTGCTTCGAGAATGGCGTGCATCGGCACCTGAACCAGTGATAGGGAGTGAAGTAGTCGAACATGTAGACCGCTTCACTTATCTTGGGAGTCTCATCAGTGCAGATGGCCTGGTGACTGACGAAATTTCAGCACGGATACAGAAAGCTCGATTGGCTTTTGCCAACCTGCGTCACTTATGAAGCAGGCGAGATATCCATTTGTTGACTAAAGGACGAGTGTACTGCGTAGTAGTTCACTCTGTCCTACTTTATGGCTGTGAAACATGGTCAGTGAGAGTAGAAGATATTCGTAGGTTACTGGTTTTCGATCATAGGTGTCTTCGAAGCATTGCTTGTATATCCTGGGACAACCGAGTGAGCAACGCTGTTATTAGGAATCGGGTGCTAGGTAAGGATGGCAGATCAATAGATGAAGTAGTGAAACTTCATTATTTGAGGTGGTTGGAACATGTGTTGCGTATGCCTAACCACCGACTGCCTCGTCAAGCTATGTTTTGTGGTGTAGGAATAGGTTGGAAGAAAGCTAGGAGCGGCCAAACCAAAACATGGCAGAAATCCATGAAGTCACTGACAAGTGGACTGAGTCATGTTGGTAGTTGTCGACTACCTTGTTGGGGTCCGAGAGATGATAATAATCGATGGTTAGAGACCCTGAATGACATGGCTCAAAACCGTTTGCAATGGCGCCGGTGTATTTATTCTTTGTGTTCTCTCAAATCCTAATTTTCTGGATTCTTCAACACCTCTAGTTTTTACTTTCTAAACTTTTCTCATAGAATAATACTTCTTGATACTTCTAATACCTTTACTACCTTTCCTACTATTGGATTTGAATTGACAATTATATCTCTGTGCTGATGTGGTATGGCAACATGAACTGATGTACTTCCGTACGAAGTTCTACTTTGCATCTGACTGACTGACTACTAGCTAGTAATTAGGAGCACCGTGTTATTAATCGGATGCTTACGAAAGCCATCGAAATGAATTAAAAATTTGTTTAAACTCACCGAAACGACTGAGTTAGAAAATGTCGCTGAAGAAAAAGTAATTTAATTACAGATCACGTAGCAGTTATAGTTGTAGCTAATCCTTCGTTCCCAACTAATTTGCTTTAGGAATTATTTGGTAGGATAGATATGCCTCAGTAATTTCTCTTAAGATGACGTGAATAGTTTTGAATAGTTAAATGTCATGTTCTTTATGTACCAAAAGTTTTCTCTATAGTACCTTTTGTGTTTCTCATGTAGAAAATACTTCAAATTATTACTAATGTTGTATGAACTATGGATGTCATCCAGTTAAGTGTAAATCGTCTACTGATGTTGGTTCACCAACTTACTTACTTTAGCGCTTTTAATTGACTGAAGTACGTGTTACAATATGGGTAAGTCTAGGACACTGAAATTATATCTGAATCATTCGATGAGGTATAGGTCTCATACTTGGGACCTGAGGAACAGCAGAATCCGGGGAATAGTATCTGGAAGTATTATAGTTCAGAATTAATAAACTTTGACTTACCTGGATAATGCTAGTGTTCTTGCATAATTATTTAACCGCGTAATCTTTACTTTACATCTGATATGGATATGAAACTTGATATTCTTAATCAGTTCACTGACCAGTACACCAATGTGGATACTTTATTTCACTGAAATACCGAAAGTGAATGATGAAATCATGTTTTTGTTGCGAAAACTAATTTTATTTAAATATCATCATTTGGACGTATTGTCTGCAACCAAGATGAAAGTGCTATACTTTCTTGACTGCGTTCTCACAACACGAATAATCTAGATCACTTTGATTAAATTGTTTGCATCAATTTTACCTACCCAAATTGTAGAATTTAGAGTGCGACTCCACACTAAATCAACAGCGATTGAATAGTTCCTTTCGATTTTTCTGAATAGAATGGTTTTCGAGTTTTCCCTCTTGGCTACTTTACTTGCTCTTTAGGGTTGCCGAGAAATCGTTTTTAAGATTCATTTACCTCTAAGTATTTGATCTCAAGTGTCTAGAATCTTATATTCAAAACCCGTCTGATTATGTACTGGTTGCCCAAGAATATCCGCTTCAAATTTCGAGCACTTTGTGTGTAGTCACGTGAATTAGTGTAAAACTCTGTCATTACTGATGACAGTGACATATTTTAGGAATTCATCAGTGCTAAGCTAGGAATGTATATTTTGCAAGAAGCTCTTTTAGTAAATGTCTTGAGCTTAAAATCGGAAAGAGTCTTAGGAAGGATTTTATGTGCACATCTTTCATCCAACGTGTATCTGTGCTTCAAAAATACAGAGCTGAATTTCACAGACTTTGTGTTTTATTCAGAAACTTTTGATGAAAATGAGTACACTGGATTCTATGATTTCAGTACTCATATCAGCCATGTTTTATTCTAAGAGAACTTTGCATTTTTAATGTGAATCTTTTATTTCCTATCAATTTTCAGACTGCAGGTATGAACCGGAATAAGTATTCTCCTGGATTTCCTACTCATTATGCACCACCGAGCACAAATACATCTATTAATGAGCTTCATGCAACGGATTTGGCTACTGTAGTCTACCAACGTCAGGATACTGCATTACAGGCTATTTATCATCGTTATTATACGGAGTTGTTCACTGGGATGGCAACTAATTTTATTGCAGATGTTATACTTTATCCAGTAGAAACCTTAGTACTGCGCTTGTGTATACAGGGCACTCGTACTCTGGTTGATAGTATGGATACGGGTGATGTTGTTGTTCCCATTGTTTCTTCATATGATGGATTTTTTGATGCACTTCGTTCTAGTTTGGACTCGCCTGTTGGGATTTTGGGTCTTTATAAAGGTTTTGGTGCTCTTATAGCTCAATACACCCTACAAGCACTATTTATTTATGGGATCCGTTGTTTATATGAACATCTTCTCTGCCTTTGGGCTCCTCCATTTACTGATAACAAAATTCACTCAAGACCAAACTCCAGACCAAATGTATCTACCGCATTTGAGGGTATGGAGTCAGGTGCTGTTGGTGACTGTTTATCTTCTGTTAATAACTGGTAACGTCATATACGTTATTGTTGTGTTAATTTTGATAAGTAAAGTTCGTCATCGTTGTACAGTCTCATTATTACACATCATGTTTACATACTAACTTTATCTAATGCTCATTTTTTTCCATTTGCATCATTTCTTGAAAACTATCTAGGCTAGAATTAACTTGGACTTAATTAAAAAATAAAGACTTTCAATAATGACAAAGACTCGGTTTTACCTCTTGAATAAAAGGAAAGGATAAAATTTTCAACTGTTATTTTTCACTAATCATATGTAAATTGATTTTTGAGAATCATCTGATAATTCATTTCTAGTTTTTCATTAATACTAAACTATGTTCATGTGAAATTATTGTGTATTTGCTTTTTTCGTTACTGGTTTAAGTTATTCGAAAAGTGAGAAGAATTTAATTTTCATTGTTGCTCTTCTAAATTATTGGGTCATACTTAGCTATTCATTTCAATAAAATAGCGAACGTAGCATATCGTGTTAATGAAAAATAGCTAGTGAAGAAGCAGTTCAACGGAACGATTGGTAAGAAAATTTTCTTCGCTGAGTTGTCATATATATATATATATATATATATATATATATATATATATATATATATACATATATATACTTCGAATAACTTTTCATGTTTCTGGAATGGGGAAAGCTACATCGTTAACATCAGTTAGAATACGGTACATTGGTCCGATACGAGTTTATTAGTGAAACACTTCCTAATAACATCGAAAGATTGACGAAACTATGATTGTTTAAAATGACTATACAAAGAATTCGGATTGATAGTTATGCGCGTTTACTTTTCTTTTTGATGCAAGCGATCTTGTTGAAGGGGATTCTTTAATTATCATTATATTACTGATAAAAAGTGTTTTTGAGTATATTGTCAAATCTTTTACTTATGTACACTCGACGTTACGTTTCTGTTAAACGGGAGTTTATACAAAATGAGTTCTTCACATTTCATCAATTAATTGAACCAGCAGTCACCCTCATTCTATATATTGACTGAGTTACTACAATCGACTATGTAGCTACTCAGTTGTGATTGAAAACCATATGGTGATTTATAGCCTTTCTTTCTCAGTTTGTCCTCGTATAAAATCTTAGATAACAACACTACAGAATTTCTATCACAAATGTTTGTAGTCACTTCATGTTACGTAATATGTGAAGAGAACACTATATGCTGATTTGCTGTGATCACTCGTATTATTCTTGCTCATTCTAATATATTTCACGTTTCTTTTCTCTTTCTAAGCTATTGCAAAATATAGCGGCTGGGAACGACGAGCTTTTATGCGGTATTCTACGTTATTCTATCTACCTGTTTGGTGCATTATAACAAGCTTTATGCTTGAATATGTGTAAGTATAATTTCTACGTATTTCATCCCAGGACGATTATCTTCATAATCACTCATACGACTTGGGATGACAAGACAAATATTTCTAACTCTAAATGCACTGCTTCTAAATAGTCACACATTACTTGGATGTTATCTCATTTCATTATACAGATAAGCGTAGGTTTATAGTACAAGGAGAACATCTTAACCAATATGGGGTATATATAGATTATGGATCCTTCATGTATATCATGTAATTGTTTTGAAGAAATCCCGACCGTAGCTGCTGCCTTGACGTGGTGGTCGGGCTTGCCTATCGTGATGACCCAACCGAGCTTTATTGGCTGGGAAAATGTTCTTGTAGGTTCTACCATGCCAGGCAGCTGGATTGAAGAATGATGGGACTAAAAGCAGCTATTCAAGGTCTGAGGGCGAAGTCGTACTGCTGACTAGTGGAGTGTGACGGCAATAAGGATTTTACCTCGGACAACCAGCATCTACAGCAATATTGACTTCTCATATGAAGGAGGGGTTAGATTAGGTCGAGCCTAAGGATGTCACATCTCACCCTACCTCACGAGTGTCCGTTTCCGGCGGTAAGGGCTACCCACTAAGGGCTTTTAAGAGCGGAGCTAATACTCAAAAAACCTTCCATAAAAAGGCCGTGCGTGACCGGCCTCAAGCAGTTGTCCCATGGGCTCTGCAGTCACGCAACCAGGTCGTTAAGACCAACTCTAATTGATCTTCCTTTTCAGGTTCCTCAAGAAACACTCTTCCATGGTGTGGGCAGCCGGGAAGTGACAACCGCCCTCATACCCATAACAGCACGTGAGACCAAATGGGTCACAAACAAATCCTTCCTTTGAAGAAACATTTAAGTTTCTAGTTAGATTTTCCTGGATTATCTTTAAAGCAAATAGGTTAACACTAATTGTTCTCGAGCAGTTTGTCTTAGGTTACTGTTTGATGAACACTTGAATATAAACTACATTTCTAGTGCTTCACCCTGTAAAAGGTTACATTATGGCATGCCTAAGACATTTAATCTATTTGTATATATTTATATCTTTGATCTGAGTATTTGTTAATAAGAAAATTCGCTAAGAGTTTCTTGCGTCAACTGCAAAATAATCGAAACCGTAATTCATTTGTACATTACAATTCGCAATCAGATTTTTACTATAATAACTGACGCACATATGTGCGTCAGTTCAATTTCCCACGCCAAGTCAACATATTGAGATGTCAGTATAATGTAAGTAGTTACAGTATTCATGTCTGTAGAAGAGATTAGGCATAGGCAATAAGATTGGAGAAAATATTTAACGTTTACAGAGCAGTCTTATGGTTTACGTTGGCCCTCACTGGGAAAATGCTGTAATTTCTTTCGAGATTGTCTCTGCCATGTAAGATAGTGTAATTGGTCGTTTCCATACTTTTTTTAGTCAATTTTGTTTCATTGTTAGTAAGTGATTTCCTGTCAGTACTGAAATAATTTTAATTCTCTTGTCATTTAACACAGAAAACAACCATAGTATTTATGTGAATGTGATTGAAAAGTTAATTAATACACGTACAAGCATCTGGTAAGTGACAGTTATTTCACAGGACACTACCCTACGCACAATAAGGACTATCTTGTTTGTTCTCAATGTTATTCGCATCCTACTATGCTTTGTTTTGAGATTAGTAATTGAATCCAATTTATTGTTAGGTACAGACCCGGTATTTTCAAAGAAAGTAATGTCAGTAACGGATAATAGCTTTTGAGAATGCTTGTGAATTCATAATTTTTTAATTCTTAGGTTTTGAGTTCTTACTAAACCACATCTCCAATTTTTAAACTTACTTTCTACGTCAGCAGTTGCAGTAGGCTATTGAATTCTCTGTTCGAAATAAATTTTTAAGTATATTTTGATATGTCAGCTATATAAATGCTAGACCTGAATCCCTATCCGTTTCAAATAACCCCAGACTGGATCTACACTTTGACTGGGTCACAAGATAAAGGCGGTAATTAGAAGAACACTTAACTCTGATGTTTTTTATATACAGAAAAATAAGGGTAGTCGTAGAGTTACCCATGACCCTGAGCTTCTGAAAGGTTCAAAACCGTGCTAGATATAGCGTTATGGCTATTTAGCCAATCGGAATCGCGTCACGTGACTTAGTTATTTCTGGATATTTCCGAGAAGGTTCTATTCAATGGTGGTCGAGCGAAACGTTTGCTTGCTTTTCTTGGTCTCCATAGACTTTTCGAAGGAGAATTTCTGGGCTCCTTTTGTATTGATATTTAGTCTACTGGAGATCGTAAAATTGATTTTGAAAAAGCCTATTCTTTCTTTCTTAGTTCGTATTCTTACAGCTGGTACACAGATGTCTGTCCTATTTATTGTTCTTAGAATACTGAGATAGCTATCTTTTCTCATCATCCAGTTGCCCCTAGCTCCAATATTGTCCCCATCTTAAGGATAAAAGTTATCAATATCAAAAGGTATCTGAATTGAATTTTGCATTCTGTATAAAAAGGTCAACGCTCTTTAGGATAATTCGAAAATTAACGGTTCATTCACTCGACTGGATTGACACCCACCAATAATCATCATTAATATTTCTTATTAATTACTAACTAATTGTTCCAAACTTTAGAGACAGCCTCAATGTGCTTGTTAAATCTTGAGTTTTCTCAATCTACAATCTCATTTCTACATATGTTCCTGTAGGTCCTACCATGCCAGGCAGCTCGATTGGAGAACGATGGGAATAAAAGCAGCTACTCAAGGTCTGAGGGTGAAGTCGTACTGCTGACTAATGGAGTGTGGCGGCAATAAGGATTTTACCTCGGACAACCAGCATTTGCAGCAATGTTACTTTCTCACAAGGAAGGGAGGGGTTAGAAAAGGTCGAGCCTAAAAGTGTCACATCTCACCCTACCTCATGGATTTCCATCTCCGGTGGTAAGGCCTTTTGAAGACTCGAGCTAACACGTCAACTTACTATCAAAAGGCCGTGCGTGACCGTCCTGAAGCAGTTGTCCCTTGTGCTGCGTGGTCACGCTCCCAGATCTCTCAGATCAACTCTAATCCAACTTGTTTTTCGGTTTTCTCAAGAAATATTCTTGAATAATGTGGGCAGCCGGTTAGTGACAACCGCTCTCATACCTGTAGAAGCACAATAAGACCAAGTCGGTCTTAGTCAAATCCTTTCTAAACCTCCTAACATCTATTTTATCTCCACGACCAACCCTTCTTTCATTCCTGTTTCACCTTGCGTCCCTAATGCGAACGTCCCGAGTTCACGAAACGTTATTCCTGGCCTCCTGAAACCCATCTCCAAACTACATGTTGGAGCTTTAAATGTTCGAACCTTTTGTCAAATAGGGAAACAGCTTCCTGGTATCTCGTGTTATCGATTGATATTGCGTTTCTGAAACGTGCATGAAGTATCCCAGTAGAATCATCAATTTGATTTCACCTTGTCCAGATAGAGAATCAACTAGGTTTATGCTTCGTTTATCTGGAAGTCCTGCTGCTGCTTCCCTCGGCTTCGCTGTCGTACATATAGTATAGAGTCCCAGATCAGAAGTAGCTCTCTTAGATTGGGTCACTGTAAGTAGTCATTTGTGCGGTGTTCGACTAAACGGGACAGTAGGACTCGCAAACATCGGCACACTCGCTGTTGCCTCTTCGTTGTCTCTGCCTATGCTCCCATTGACAACAACTCGGACAAGGTAAAAGACGAATCTTACAAAAAGCTATCGGACCTCCTTCAAAACGCTAGACACTCCAATGTAGTGCTAGTGACTAATGAATTTATTGCTCATATAGGTAGACTAAGAAATGAAAGACATCTGGGTTGACTGCGCATAAACGACTGTCTACCGGGATCCAGTCTATGAGAGCTCCTCCCTCGTAAGAAATCAGCATCGCTACGGATGCTGGTTGTCCGAGGTAAAATCCTTATTGCCGTCACACTCCACTAGTCAGCAGTACGACTTTCACCCTCAGACCTTGAGTAGCTGCTTTTAGTCCCATCATTCTCCAATCGGACTGCCTGGCATGGTAGAACCTACAAGAACATTTTCCCAGCCAATATAGCTTTATTGGGTCATCACGATAAGCAAGCCTGACCATCACGTCAAGGTAGCAGCAACGGTCGGTCTTAATCAGCTATGTCATGGACGTTCTTTCTGAAATAATTTTTCCTCGTCTGATTTTCAGGAATTGATTTTTTA